TTCGTTGAGCGAATGAATCATTAATCCTCTTATATGCTCGACTAAGCACACTCAGCCTTCATAATGTTCCCTAAGTTTTGAAACGCATAAAACTGGCAGTTAATATTCATCGCAGCAACAGAGGAAAGAAAAATGAAGTTCTGTAATATGGACCAAACCCTCACTTACAGTGAAAGTAGGGGTCTGTGGTTTCCACTGATGTCTGGGACTTTGCGAATGCTTTCCATGAGGACATTGGTTTGGACGCTTCTCTGCTTTTCCCTCTGGTTATAGAGTGGTCTTGGGCCATGTCATGGAGGACGGTCAGAGCGAATAATGCCACTTTTTTTCTGAAGGACATGTGGACAGATTTTTCCGGCAGCCTTTTCAGATTATTTTGTCACAGGACATTGTTTTATTGTAATAAAGCAACACGTGGTTAGACTGAGGCGGTTAGTTAATCAAGCATTGTCTCCACTACCGCTCCAGGCTGTGTCCTCTTTTCAAGGCATATCACTGGAAGAATGCTCATCTGTTTTCATCTGGAAATCATCAACTTGCTTTTACAGAGATGTACTGTAGTTAAACGTCAATATTTAGCGGCGTTCAGACTGAATTGAATTGTGATGAGTGAGGTCTCTACCATTGAGATGCGCTGTTGATGTTTCCATTTTTTTTACATTCTCATATTACTTGTGATGTGACCTTAAGCTTTAAGCCTTTATGTAAGAGTCATGAATTTGGCCTTGAAATGGAATGACTTCTAAAATATGAGTGCCTCTTTATTGTTTTAGAACTTCCGATTCAGTTGGCTATGGGAGAAATGACTAGGAATAATAAACGGCAGAAAACGATCAAACTACTAGCTCTTCAAACAAATGTTTGCATGACTATACAGACCAAGATGAATAATGTAGTAAGAAAATATCAGTTTGCAACAGCGAAACAAAAATGAAAAAAAAAATGAATGGAAGTGAATGAGACCGGAAGTCTCGAGCATAAATGAACTGCTCAAAAAGGTTAAAGCCCGCATTGGTTTTCTTTACAGGAACAAATCTTCCTTTACTCACTCTTCAAAGCAGCATTTGGTCAAATTAACAGTATTACCAATTCTGGATTATGGGGATTTAATTTACAGATCAGCTTCAAAAACTCTTCTTCACAAACTGGATGTTATTTATCATGCAGCAATTCGTTTTGTTACTGGTGCACCATTTAATACTCATCATTGTCAACTGTATTCTTCACTGAATTGGCCTTCTCTTCAATCACGTCGACAAATTCATTGGTTTCTGTTCATTTACAAAACTCTTATTAGAATAACTCCACAATATTTACAGTCACTTCTTAACATTCACGAAATCTGCGCTCTAGTAACTTTAATAACCTTTGCATACCCAAAGTTCACACTTCATTTGGTCGCTACTCGTTTCAGTTTTTTGCTGCTGATGCTTGGAATCATCTGCAGCAGACCTTAAAGCTCAGCACTTTCATTCCGCTATCATCTTTTAAAAATTCTATTCAGTCAATAGTTCAAGATCACTGTGCTTGTTTTTAGTTTTTTTTGTTGGTTTAAATGCTATTATCTGCATTTGTGTTGTTATTGTATTGTGTCCCTAGTGCTTTGTACTGCATCTGCTTTTCATGTTGCCTCTTGGCCAGGTCGTCAATGTAAATGAGAACTGGTTCTCAATTGACTTACCTGGTTAAATAAAGGTTATTAAAAAGTTTCAAATGGCTGCGCCCGCTCGTCAGCGGAGAATAAGGTGAATAGGGTTGTCACAATACTGTAATTCGGTACCAATCGACACTAAAGTTTGATGGTATTTGATGCATTGAGTTGCATTATTCACTTTCGCTCTGTACGGCTTATAAGTCCCGAATAAAATGTGGACGTCTTCTGTGTTCTTGCATTCCTGACTTCTGCGGTTTGACCTTGATGGCTGTCTTGTTTGAGGAGCTGCATTCTCAAAAGCGGCTTCACAGAATTACTGTAAAACCAAGGTTCATGTGCGTCAATTGAATTAAGAAAAAAACATTTGCGGAGCGAGTTTCTTCAGAGCGGTTTAAAAAGAAAAAGCATTTGAGTCTTAACAGCGTGTATCTCTTGTAAATCTGATGCAACCCTTACTAGCAACGTGACATTTTGTTCAACACATACAAGCAGCATAATAATATATCTTTGGAAGATGATGATGATGATAATAGAGAGGTCATCTGCGTATGGTGGTGTTCTCTGTAAAAAATCCAGAGTTCCACACAATGAAAACCAGAGTTCCACACAATTTCTTCATGGCGTCCTAACACAAACCAGTTAATTGTTTTAAGAAATTCAAGCAGATTAAGTTGGACCACCAAAAAAACTTAAGAATTGTGTTGATTCAGCTTATTTTTTAATGAGTAGTTTGAACAAGCAGCATACATTTTTTTAATGTTGCTGGACTGTTGATTTTTTTGGGACAGTGTGAGACCTGCTTTAGAGAGATACATTTACTAATAATAATATACACTTGCTGACAGGGCCGGAGTGGGACTCCTTTTCAGCCCTGGAGTTTCAAGCCTCAGACCGGCCCACCTTAGTTCACGACTGACTATATTAAAATAAGATCATTTCCAATTCAGTTTCTAATTACACTATCACGTCTTTTTTTGAGAAAACAGCTGCTTTAGAACTTCAAATGTTCAACAACCCTAACAGTATTATGTCTTAACAATAAAAATGAAAAAAATAAATAAATAAAAAATTACTCAGACGAGGATCAAACCCGGGTCCGCAGTATCGCAACCTAACGTGCTAACCACTGAACCACAACAGCTGTGCATTAGAAGGTGGCTCTTCTAAGTTATATCATCATTAACCAAGGTGCGAGAAAATAGATAAAAAGAGCAGAGCTGCGGTAAAATAATGAATAAGAAGACTGTGGTCAAGTAAAAAAAATAATTAATTTAAAAAGTGTGACTGCTGAGAGCAACAGATTCTGGAGCTAGGGACACCGGCCCTCGTAGCCAAAAAACGGACCGGCCCACCAGGAATTCTCCCGGTCCTCCCGATTAGCCAATCCGGGCCTGCTTGCTGACAAAATGCGTTGATCCCAGTTGTAAGAGCAACGAATAATAACTTGACTTTTTGTCAATCATTTGGAAAAAGGGAAGAAGGTAGATTTTTTTTTTCCCCCTGATGAATCATCTGTTAAACTGCATCCCAATCATCACTAATACTGCAGAAGACCTATTGGAACCTGCATGGATCCAAGAATCTCACAGAAATCAGTGAAGTTTGGTCAAGAAAAAAATTATGGTTTGGGGTTACATTCAGTATGGGGATGTGTCAAAGATCTGCAGAGTGCATGGCAACATCAACAGCCTGAGGTATCAAGACATTTGTGCTGCCCATTACATTACAAACAACAGGAGGGGGTAAATTCTTCAGCAGGATAGCGCTCCTTCTCATAATCTCTAGCCAAAAAGATTCAAATGGCAGCGCCCACTCGTCGGCGGAGAATAAGGTGATTACTGTACATTATTTCTGTTAAGTGACAAGACTTTTGTCTAAGCAAAGTCAGACCCTACTGTCTTAGTGAATATCAAATTGTACTGAATCGATGGCATTATAATCGTAACCGAACTGTCAGAATACTGTAGGTTCACAGCTCTAGTACGCTTGTAGTGGGAGTGCAAAGCGCACCTAAGCACAATACTGAAGACATGACATCACTATTAAGGGACTATTCCATTTGGATTTATTAATCTTTTGTACTTTTCAATAAACGCGAACTGTCATCATTTATTAAAGATACAAACCTCTTGCTGTACTTCAGCAAACCTCTTAATACCTTCAGCACGATGACTTTTATAAACCTTTATGAGTGTCAAAAGTAGTGTATCTGTTTAGCAAAAGATTTTATTGTGTCACTGCATATCAAACCACTTAAAATAACACAAAACAATATAAAGCAATCTCCATTGTACAGAGTGAGAGCGCTTCTTTTCTGTTAAGATAAACAGTCGCATCATCGATGATGTAAGCATGCTCAGTTTCGGAAGGCAAAAAATGCAATGTTAGTGCAGGACGAAGGGAAAACGTTGAGGGGGACAATTGCGCCTTGGCACGGTTCAAGACAATCGTGCCTAGTGTTAGTACAACCTTAGTTTTTGGATCTTTCTTTGCCTAAAAAGTCAGAGAACAAAATCCTTTTTCAAGGGTCTATTGAGGTCAAATGGGATCTAAGAAGACTTTGTTTAAGCTTTATTTATCTGACTTTCTTTCTTCAGTTCTATTTTAGTAAAAGCTTTAAACCTTAGGGTTTCGCCAGTTCTAACTATCCCGTTTGATTCCAGTATGCAAGCTCTTAGATTTTATTTAGTACTTGATTACATTCTTTCTTTTTAATTAGTGATTTAATTTAATATTTAAATATAATATTATTGCTGTTGACATTTCTTAAAATGAACAGTATACATTAGTTAATAAGTTTATTAATTAATAAAAACAAAACAGTTAAGACCACAGAACTGTATATTATATCTTTATTCCAAGTGAAAACAGAGCCCGCTTCTTTATTTCATATGTATACAATAAGTAGTAAGGGAATATAGGAGAAGAAGAATAAGGAATATAGAATATGAGAGAGGTATTTTAATCACTCCACCGCTTCCCAGTGACTTCATAATGTCACACTTTTTTACAGGCTGTGTGAAGGCACATAAATGTCTACCTTTGGCAATTTTGGAAGCAGGTCCCATATCATCATCATATTTGGGGTCCTTGGCAATAAAAAGCTTAAAAATGTCTGGTTTACTTGATGCCAAGTATCAACCAAAAGTACTGTACTTGGTGAACCTCAGCAATTTAAACTCTCTCAGTGTAAACTCTCAGAAGTATATACTCAGCAAAGAAGACATGTAGACTAGCCTGACTGCTTCCTTGGGTTGTAGAATTGATTTATAGTGTTTTTTGTAAAGATGACCAGACTTTTTTGTTCGGATTTGTTTGTTGCAGTTTTTAATAAATTTGTGTTTAGTTCCAGGAGCTCCAGATGGACAGGGATACCTTGTTAGTAACCAATCGGAGTCTTGCAGAAGATAGCCTTACCCGTCGGCCTCACCTTCAAAATGGCAAGCTGCAGTTGGCTGCAAAGTATGAAGAACTGGCAACACTGAGCACCGCCTGCAGGGAAAAGCAAAGCCGACTTGGTGAGTAGAAGTTAAGGGTCTTTTGCTGTCAGTGCTAATCAGAGTAAGCATCCCCCATGTTTCTTATGGTCCAGCATGTATTGTGTTGTTTACTTGTTTAAGCAGCTATACCTAGGGTGTTAATATCAGTATGTTCCGAAAAACAAAAAAAGTGCTTGGTATCAATAATAAATGAGGTTATTTTGAGGGCAGTTTCGCCCACTGTATTTACTCGGTTTGCAGTTTCTGACATTTCACTACATATAAACTTTTTTAAAACTGCTCCAAGATTGTTTCATAAGCATTTCATAATTTTTTTTAAATCACGCAAACTATTGTCAAATATACATTGATATTTACAGATATTTGACAAAATGACACAATGAATTTTTTTTATATAAATATAATATATATATATATATATATATATATATATATATATATATACAGTTGAAGTCAGAATTATTCGCCCCCTTTTGATTTTTATTTTCTTTTTTAAATATTTCCCAAATGATGTTTAACAGAGCAATGAAATGTTCACAGTATGTCTGATAATATTTTTTCTTCTGGAGAAAGTCTTATGTGTTTTATTTCGGCTAGAATAAAAGCAGTTATTAATTTTTTAAAAAACATTTTTGGGACAAAATTATTAGCCCCTTTAACCTAATTTTTTTTTCGATAATATACAGAACACACCATCGCTATAAATTAACTTGACTAATAACCCGAACCTGCCTAGTTACCCTTATTAACCTAGTGAAGCCTTTAAATGTCACTTTAAGCTGTATAGAAGTGTCTTGAAAAATATCTACCAAAATATTATTTATTGTCATCATGACAAAGATAAAATAAATCCGTTATTAGAAATAAGTTTTTAAAACTATTATGCTTAGAAATGTGCTGAAACAATCCTCCCAGAACAGAACAGAAATTGGGGAAAAAAATAAACAGGGGCGCTAATAATTCAGGGGGGCTAATAATTCTGACTTCAACTGTATATATATATATATATATAACTAATTATTACAAAAATAATCTTTCCCCCTTTGCTTTCTCTCTCTAAACTACACTACTTGACAATTCTTGTCGCCTATCCAAGTTTTAGGAACAACAAGTAATAACTTGACTTCTAGTTGATTATTTGGTATCATATGTGGCTCATATAAAAGGCAAAGGCTTCTAAATTACGCTTATTTAACCAAAATAAAATATGATCATGCCTTGATTTTTTTTTTTTTTTTCATTTATTACAGAATTTTACCCCAGACATGCTCAAAAATGTTCATGTCTGGTGACTAGGCTGTATTCTTATTGTTATTTTTGGTTATTGTGATAAGAAATAAAACTCTAAAAATATCTTATATAAGCTTCTTACAGTACAAGTCCAACATATGATACTAGCAATTGAGTTGAAGATCCAAACACAGTTTATTTAAGAGAGAATGATCAAGCAGGCAACGGTCAAACGGGTACAAACAGTAACATAGGGGTAATCCAGAAGCGTAATCAGCAAAGCAGGCAAAGGGTCTGGAGAGGTGGCAAAAACAATAAAACAAGGCAAGGGGGTCAAACCACTGCAAGACAAAACAAGAAATGCTTTTTGATGTTGCTTTGTGATGTTGCGTGCGTGCGTGCGTCTGTGTGTGTGTGTGTGTGTGTGAGAGAGAGAGAGGTGAATACAAAGTCCAGGTAATCAGTCCATGATGAGTTGCCAGCTGTGTGTGTGTGTGTAATCGGGCGGGATCAGGAACTGCTGTGTGTGTGAGATGCGTGATGGTACTTGTAGTCCTGTTCAGTGACAGATGTGTAGTTTTCCAGCAATCTGGTGATTTAGTGATGGTTAGATTATTCAGTATCACAACCAAAACTGTAACAAACTAACAAAAAACAAAAACTTAAAATCACAGCCTGAAAATTCAGCACACCAAAATTAATATGTTGGGGAAAAAGATTAAATACTATTTAAATAAACACAAAAAATCAAGAGAAAAATAACAAATATCAGATTAAAAATATTATCATTCTATTCCTAAAGATGTTAGGTGACCAAACTCTCTTTTTTAATAAATCTAACTGTTTAATAAAACTGTTTTGATTAAATTCACCAAAATATATTGGCTATATTCATTTCGAAATGGATAAAAATATTAATTTGTTAAAAGGGGTGTCCTCATTTATGCTGAGCACTGTACATGGGGGAAAAAAGCATTTCTGTGGCATTCTTAGCCATATATTTATACAATATTATATAATAGTTCCTTTCCTTTAATCTGATCAAGAAAAAATCATGCAAAAAAAACAAGAGTAAAGTGATTACAGAACTGTTTCAGTCATTCCTTATATTTGGGCTGTCTGTTTATGTAGCTTGTGTTTAAATGAAGCTTAATCGACATGTCAGGACAGACCATCTTTCAGGGAAGAGCTATTCTGTCCTCCTCCTCAGATTAAAGTGATGTTAAACACGTTATATTAAGCATGTGGTTAATCTGATGACTGATATCTGATGATACACCGTCTGTTGACTGAGCAGTTTAAGAATAGCATTGGAACGCCGCTGCCGTGGGCTTCTGCTGCTAATATTTCAGTATCACCAGGCAACATTGTTCCATAATAACACACCCTGACATCCGGAGATCCTCAATTATTCAATGACAGAATGGTTGACGTGCTGACCTGTGCTTGGATTGTTGATCTGTGTTGCAGTGGGGGAAATAATTATTAAACAAGTCACCATTTTTTTCAGAACACATATTTTTAAAGGTGCTGTTGACTTGAAATTTTCAACAGAAGTAGTTAACAACCAAATATATCCATATATGCAACGAAAAGAAATCTAATTAGTTTATAAATTAAGTGTAATAAAATGAAATAACACAGGGAAGAAGTATTGAACACATGAAGAACGGAAGTTGTAGAAAGGCAGGGAAAGCCCAGACTGCAGCTAAAATCTTTCAGTAGTTATTCAGCAACCCTCTGCCTTTTGTTATCGTAAATTATTATTAGCTTCAGTCCAACATCTACAATACCAGGATAATTAAAATGAAACCAGAGTGGAGATTTCAGCAAGACAATGATCCAAAACACAGCCAAGGAAACTCTCAAATGCTTTCAGAGAAAGAAAATCAAGCTGTAGAATGGCCCAGCCAATCACCTGAACTGAATCCAATTGAAAATACATAGATCAGATTTTATTGAAGAGACCCACAGAACCATCAAGACCATCAAGTTTGTGACCACACTTGAGCAATGCATGTAACTTCATACTCCATCTGAAAGTCGTCTTTAAGCTGACATCACCAAAAAAAGTATTTTTTACAAAGTATTAGATACATTTCAGTAGTTTATCAAATATTTTGTGTGTCATTCTATTGTTATTACACATGACTCTTTTTTTATTTCAGAATTTGGTTTGTTTAGTTTTATTTTTATCTTTGTATTGTTCGGGTTTTTACCAAAAATCTAGTTCAATTCCATGTCAACAGCTCCTTTAGAAATATAATTCTCAGGAAAAAACATGACAGGACATGTTCGGCACTTATTTCCCTCAATGTATCTCCAGCACTGGAGGTGACGTTACCTTCCGTTGCCTTCTCATCAGGGTGGAGTGTACCGGTCAGGTCCCAAACTGGGATTTCGAGGCCAAGAGGTCCCCACCTGGCTTCCCCACCTCTTTTCAACACCGTCCAGAAATAACTGCCCTCATCTGGACCAGACTGTTCTTGAGGTTGTGCTCAGGTTTCCCTTCCCCAAACAGTTCCTCATGGGATAGCTAGGTCTTGTTTTCCTTTTTTTTCTCTCAGCGTGGCCAGAATAAGAGAAATATTATTGTGTTCTTCTACGGTTTTCCTCTCTTGGCTGAACGCTCAGCATGATAGTTTCTCACGCCCCCTCCCCCAAATCTTTTTTATTATTGGCGCTCTGACTTAGCATGTCGATTATCAGCTTGTACAGCAGAGAGCCTTGTGGGTTAGAAATCGGTCATTTATTATTGTTTTCTTTATTGTTTTAGGCTGCAGAGTTGATAACAGTACGTGGTCAGGATTTCAGCATAGACTCTTTTTCTTTTCGATGTGTAAATAGTCACCGTGTGCTGAATGTTTATTAAACGAAGGCAAATAAATCGGAAGAAGATAATTCTGGCTGCAGTCTTTCTTCAGTTTGTGAAAACAAAGCAAAACATGTTTATAGGAAGGAGCTTACAATAGATGACTTGTTGTTGGGCAGTGGGAACTAAGAAATACCAAGGGATTAAAAAAAATAGAAATGTGAGTATTATTATGCAAACCCTCACAAAAAGTTATCACTAAAAATGTGTGTTCTGTGAAGACCGCTTGAATTGAATTTCTGTTTTAAGCCTTACTGTAGTTGCTATGGGTTGAGTTTGTTCCAGGTAAACAGTGTTTTATTGATGGTTATGTCACATCTTTTTTTTTTTTTCATTTTGCCTTTGGTGAATGTGTTTATTGGGTTTACAGATAACTTGAATTGAAAGTTCTCGTCTTTATGTTAACACACAAATCAATATAATGCACACATTTTCCCTCAAAAATTCCTACACTATGCATTGAAATTGATTATTTTGATAATGTAATTATTTAAATAATTGAATAATGTAATTAGATTTTTTATAATTCTTTGATGTAATGAATCATTTTAAGACAATGCTAGCTAACGTAAACATCTGTCTAAATCGCAGGTATGACCTGTATTGTACTATTTATAGTCATTGTCATTCAGTAAAAGCTATTTGATGTTCAGTTAAACTTTGTCTGATAATTTGACAATAGACATAATTTTATTTATTTATTTTATTTATATCTAAATTAGTGGTGCAGCAGTTCTCTGTAAAAAATCAAAACAACCCGTTGTCCTCCCAGGGTTCAGAATATGCATTATTAATATTGGTTTGGTGATGTTAATCTGTTGTTGATATCATGTTTTCCCACATGTCGGGACATTAAAATAATAATGAATGCCAGTTGTCTTGCAAAAAGCTCAGATAGCTTAGATCAGTGGTCACT